ACCCCACCAAACGCAAATTCATGAAGATTGGGGAAGGGCAAAGAAGACCGGAGAGGGAGTACAGTCTAGGGGAGCCAGAGACTACAAACCTCACTCAAGAAAAAAGATCTTGGGGTGAGTATAACACCAGGCACATCTCCTGAGGCGCACATCAACCAAATAAGTGCTGCAGCATATGGGCACCTAGCAAACCTAAGAACAGCATTCCGCCATCTTAATAAGGAATCGTTCAAGACCCTGTACACTGTGTATGTTAGGCCTATATTAGAATATGCGGCACCAGTTTGGAACCCACATCTAGCAAAGCACGTAAAGAAACTAGAGAAAGTGCAAAGGTTTGCAACAAGATTAGTCCCAGAACTAAGGGGTATGTCCTACGAGGAGAGGTTAAGGGAAATCGACCTGACGACACTGGAGGACGGGAGAGATAGGGAGGACATGACAACGACATGTAAAAAACTGAGAGGAATTGACAAGGTGGACAGAGACAGAATGTTCCAGAGATGGGACACAGCAACAAGGGGACACAGTTGAAAGTTGAAGAACTAGATGAATCACAGGGATGTTAGGAAGTATTTCTTCAGCCGCAGAGTAGTCAGGAAGTGGAATAGTTTGGGAAGCGATGTAGTGGAGGCAGGATCCATACATAGCTTTAAGCAGAGGTATTATAAAGCTCATGGTGCAGGGAGAGTGACCCAGTAGCGACCAGTGAAGAGGCGGGGCCAGGAGCTATGAATCGACCCCTGCAACCACAACTAGGTGAGTAAACTAAAGCGAAAAATTAAAGTGAAGGATCTGGGAGTGACAGTGTTCGAGAATCTCACTTTCAAAGATTACAACAATGTATCTACCACATTTGCTAGGAAAATGATACGATGGATAATGAGAACCTCCAAAACTAGGGATGCCAAACACATGATGATTCTCTTCAAAAGGCTTGTTCTTTCTAGACTGGAATATTGTTGTACACTAACTGCCCCTTTCAAGGTAGATGAATTTGCAGAACTGGAGAATGTACAGAGAACTTTCATGACACGTACAAGTACAATAAAGCACCTAAATTACTGCGAATGGTTGAAGTCCCTTGATTTTTACTCCCTGGAACTTAAGCCAGAAAGATACATGATAATATACATTTAAAAAATCCTAGAGGGACTTGTTCCAAATTTACACACGAAAATCATGCCCAACCAAAGGACAAGACTCGTCAGGTGATGCAGTATCCCCCAATGAACAGCAGGGCGCCACGAGTCTGCGAAGAAACAACACACTAAGTATCAAAGGCCCAAGACTGTTCAACTACCTCCTACTATACATAAAAAGGACTGGAACATCAGAGGGAAGGTGGGCGTGGCTTGTGGAACATCAGAGGGAAGGTGGGCGTGGCTTGTGGAACATCAGAGGGAAGGTGGGCGTGGCTTGTGGAACATCAGAGGAAAGGTGGGCGTGGCTTGTGGAACATCAGAGGGAAGGTGGGCGTGGCTTGTGGAACATCAGAGGGAAGGTGGGCGTGGCTTGTGGAACATCAGAGGAAAGGTGGGCGTGGCTTGTGGAACATCAGAGGGAAGGTGGGCGTGGCTTGTGGAACATCAGAGGGAAGGTGGGCGTGGCTTGTGGAACATCAGAGGAAAGGTGGGCGTGGCTTGTGGAACATCAGAGGGAAGGTGGGCGTGGCTTGTGGAACATAAGAGGGAAGGTGGGCGTGGCTTGTGGAACATCAGAGGGAAGGTGGGCGTGGCTTGTGGAACATCAGAGGGAAGGTGGGCGTGGCTTGTGGAACATCAGAGGGAAGGTGGGCGTGGCTTGTGGAACATCAGAGGGAAGGTGGGCGTGGCTTGTGGAACATCAGAGGGAAGGTGGGTGTGGCTTGTGGAACATCAGAGGGAAGGTGGGCGTGGCTTGTGGAACATCAGAGGAAAGGTGGGCGTGGCTTGTGGAACATCAGAGGAAAGGTGGGCGTGGCTTATGGAACATCAGAGGGAAGGTGGGCGTGGCTTGTGGAACATCAGAGGGAAGGTGGGCGTGGCTTGTGAAACATCAGAGGGAAGGTGGGCGTGGCTTGTGGAACATCAGAGGGAAGGTGGGCGTGGCTTGTGGAACATCAGAGGGAAGGTGGGCGTGGGTTGTGGAACAGAGGGAGGGTGGGCGTGGCTTGTGGAACATCAGAGGGAAGGTGGGCGTGGCTTGTGGAACATCAGAGGGAAGGTGGGCGTGGCTTGTGGAACATCAGAGGGAAGGTGGGCGTGGCTTGTGGAACATCAGAGGGAAGGTGGGCGTGGCTTGTGGAACATCAGAGGGAAGGTGGGCGTGGCTTGTGGAACATCAGAGGGAAGGTGGGCGTGGCTTGTGGAACATCAGGGAAGGTGGGCGTGGCTTGTGGAACAGAGGGAGGGTGGGCGTGGCTTGTGGAACATCAGAGGGAAGGTGGGCGTGGCTTGTGGAACATCAGAGGGAAGGTGGGCCTGGCTTGTGGAACATCAGAGGGAAGGTGGGCGTGGCTTGTGGAACAGAGGGAGGGTAGGCGTGGCTTGTGGAACATCAGAGGGAAGGTGGGCGTGGCTTGTGGAACATCAGGTGGAAGGTGGGCGTGGCTTATGGAACATCAGAGGGAAGGTGGGCGTGGCTTGTGGAACATCAGAGGGAAGGTGGGTTTGGCTTGTGGAACAGAGGAGGGTGGGCGTGGCTTGTGGAACATCAGAGGGAGGGTGGGCGTGGCTTGTGGAACATCAGAGGGAAGGTGGGCGTGGCTTGTGGAACATCAGAGGGAAGGTGGGCGTGGCTTGTGGAACATCAGAGGGAAGGTGGGCGTGGCTTGTGGAACATCAGAGGGAAGGTGGACGTGGCTTGTGGAACATCAGAGGGAAGGTGGGCGTGGCTTGTGGAACATCAGAGGGAAGGTGGGCGTGGCTTGTGGAACATCAGAGGGAAGGTGGGCGTGGCTTGTGGAACATCAGAGGGAAGGTGGGCGTGGCTTGTGGAACATCAGAGGGAAGGTGGGCGTGGCTTGTGGAACATCAGAGGGAAGGTGGGCGTGGCTTGTGGAACATCAGAGGGAAGGTGGGCCTGGCTTGTGGAACATCAGAGGGAAGGTGGGCGTAGCTTGTGGAACAGAGGGAGGGTAGGCGTGGCTTGTGGAACATCAGAGGGAAGGTGGGCGTGGCTTGTGGAATATCAGGTGGAAGGTGGGCGTGGCTTGTGGAACATCAGAGGGAAGGTGGGCGTGGCTTGTGGAACATCAGAGGGAAGGTGGGCGTGGCTTGTGGAACATCAGAGGGAAGGTGGGTTTGGCTTGTGGAACAGAGGGAGGGTGGGCGTGGCTTGTGGAACATCAGAGGGAGGGTGGGCGTGGCTTGTGGAACATCAGAGGGAAGGTGGGCGTGGCTTGTGGAACATCAGAGGGAAGGTGGGCGTGGCTTGTGGAACATCAGGTGGAAGGTGGGCGTGGCTTGTGGAACATCAGAGGGAAGGTGGGCGTGGCTTGTGGAACATCAGGTGGAAGATGGGCGTGGCTTGTGGAACATCAGAGGGAAGGTGGGCGTGGCTTGTGGAACATCAGAGGGAAGGTGGGCGTGGCTTGTGGAACATCAGAGGGAAGGTGGGCGTGGCTTGTGGAACATCAGAGGGAAGGTGGGCGTGGCTTGTGGAACATCAGAGGAAAGGTGGGCGTGGCTTGTGGAACATCAGAGGAAAGGTGGGCGTGGCTTGTGGAACATCAGAGGGAAGGTGGGCGTGGCTTGTGGAACATCAGAGGGAAGGTGGGCGTGGCTTGTGGAACATCAGAGGGAAGGTGGGCGTGGCTTGTGGAACATCAGAGGGAAGGTGGGTTTGGCTTGTGGAACAGAGGGAGGGTGGGCGTGGCTTGTGGAACATCAGAGGGAAGGTGGGCGTGGCTTGTGGAACATCAGAGGGAATGTGGGCGTGGCTTGTGGAACATCAGAGGGAAGGTGGGCGTGGCTTGTGGAACAGAGGGAGGGTGGGCGTGGCTTGTGGAACATCAGAGGGAAGGTGGGTGTGGCTTGTGGAACAGAGGGAGGGTGGGCGTGGCTTGTGGAACATCAGAGGGAAGGTGGGCGTGGCTTGTGGAACAGAGGGAGGGTGGGCGTGGCTTGTGGAACATCAGAGGGAAGGTGGGCCTGGCTTGTGGAACATCAGAGGGAAGGTGGGCCTGGCTTGTGGAACATCAGAGGGAAGGTGGGCCTGGCTTGTGGAACATCAGAGGGAAGGTGGGCCTGGCTTGGGGAACATCAGAGGGAAGGTGGGCCTGGCTTGTGGAACATCAGAGGGAAGGTGGGCGTGGCTTGTGGAACATCAGAGGGAAGGTGGGCCTGGCTTGTGGAACATCAGAGGGAAGGTGGGCGTGGCTTGTGGAACATCAGAGGGAAGGTGGGCGTGGCTTGTGGAACATCAGAGGGAAGGTGGGCGTGGCTTGTGGAACATCAGAGGGAAGGTGGGCGTGGCTTGTGGAACATCAGAGGGAAGGTGGGCGTGGCTTGTGGAACATCAGAGGGAAGGTGGGCGTGGCTTGTGGAACATCAGAGGGAAGGTGGGCGTGGCTTGTGGAACATCAGAGGGAAGGTGGGCGTGGCTTGTGGAACATCAGAGGGAAGGTGGGCGTGGCTTGTGGAACATCAGAGGGAAGGTGGGCGTGGCTTGTGGAACATCAGAGGGAAGGTGGGCGTGGCTTGTGGAACATCAGAGGGAAGGTGGGCGTGGCTTGTGGAACATCAGAGGGAAGGTGGGCGTGGCTTGTGGAACATCAGAGGGAAGGTGGGCCTGGCTTGTGGAACTTAAAGAAATGAGTGAAGCTTCTGTGAAGTTAAGAAAAATGACCGGGATTGTTGTTAAAATATCTGAAGTTGGAGGAGGAGGAGGAGGAGGAGGAGGAGGAGGAGGAGGAGGAGAAGGAGGTGGGCGTGTCTTGCGAGAGACCAGGAGGAGGGCGTGGCGTGGTGACGTCAAAATTGGAAGAGTATTTATAGGAGTGTAGAATGAAGCAGGTGACCAGGCCACCTCCACCCAGCACGACGATAACACTGGTGAGTGTGTATGTGTGTGTGTGTGTACTCGCCTAATTGTGGTTGCTCCTGTGGTCAGCTCCTGGCCCTCGCCTCTTCACTGATCGCTAATAGGTCCTCTCTCTCTCTCTCTCTCTCTCTCTCTCTCTCTCTCTCTCTCTCTCTCTCTTCTCTCTCTCTCTCTCTCTCTCTCTCTCTCTCTCTCTCTTCTCTCTCTCTCTCTCTCTCTCTCTCTCTCTCTCTTGCTTCCTGAGCTTCTGTCATACGTCGTCTTAAAGCTACGTATGGTTCCTGCCTCCACTACATCACTTGCTAGGCTATTCCACTTCCTGACGAATCTGCGACTGAAGTACTTCCCAACATCCCAGTGACTCGTCTGAGTCTTCAGCTTCCAATTGTGACCCCTTGTTCCTGTGTCCCTTCTCTGGAACATCCTGTCTCTGTCCACCTTGTCTATTCCACGCATTATTTTGTATGTTGTTATCATGTCTCCCCTGACCCTGCTGTCCTCCAGTGTCGTCAGTCTGATTTCCCTCAACCTTTCTTCGTAAGACATATCTCTGAGCTCCGGAACTAGAGTTGTTGCAAATCTTTGTACTTTCTTTAATTTCTCGACGTCTTTGACCAGGTGTAGGTTCCAAACTGGTGCTGCATACTCCAGTATGGGCCTTACGTACACAGTGCACATTGTCTTGAACGATTCCTTACTAAGGTATCGGAACGCTATTCTCAGATTTCCCAGGCGCCCATATGCTGCAGCACCTATCTGGTTGATGTGTGCCTCCAGAGACGTGCTCGGTGTTATGGTCACACCAAGATCTTTCTCCTTGAGTGAGGTTTGCAGTCTTTGTCCACCTAGCCTATAATCGGTCCGCGGTCTTCTTTGCCCTTCCCCAATTTTCATGACTCAGCATTTGGCTGGGTTGAATTCGAGAAGCCAGTTGTTGGACCACGTGTCCAGCCTGTCCAGGTCTCTTTGTAGACCTGCCTGATCCTAACCTGATTTAATTCTTCTCACTAACTTCAAATCATCTGTGAACAGGGACACTTCTGAGTGTATCCCTTCGACCATGTCATTCACATATATCAAAAGCAGCACTGGTCCTAGGACTGACCCCTGTAGGACCCCGCTCGTCACAGGCGCCCACTGTGATACCTCATCACGTACCATGACTCGTTGTTGCCTCCCTGTCAGGTATTCTCTGATCCATTGCAGTGCCCTTCCTGTTATACGCGCTTGGTGCTCTAGCTTCTGCACTAATCTCCTGTGAGAAACTGTGTCGAAGGTCTTACTGCAGTCCAGGAAAATACAATCAACCCACCCCTCTCTCTCGTGTGTTACTTCTGCTACATTGTCATAGAACTCCAGAAGGTTTGTGACACAGGATTTTCCTTCCATGAATCTGTGCTGGTTGTCGTTTATAATCTTGTTCCATTCCAGGTGTTCCACCACTCTCCTGATAATCTTCAAGACTTCGCATAATATACACGTCAGAGACACTAGTCTGTAGTTTAGTGATTCGTTTGTCTCCTTTCTTAAAAAGTGTGTGTGTGTGTGTGTGTGTGTGTGTGTGTGTGTGTGTGTGTGTGTGTGTGTGTGTGTGTGTGTGTGTGTGTGTGTGTGTGTGTGTGTGTGTACTCAGTTGTACTCACCTAGTTGAGTTTGCAGGGGTCGAGTCCTAACTCCTGGTCCCGCCTTTTCATTCTGTGTGTGTGTGTATAGGGGGGGGCAGTACCACCATGCCCATGGCGTTGGTGGTAGTACTACCATACCCATGGTGTTGGTGGAAGTACCACCATACCCATGGTGTTGGTGGAAGTACCACCATACCCATGGTGTTGGTGGAAGTACCACCATACCCATGGTGTTGGTGGTAGTACTACCATACTCATGGTGTTGGTGGTAGTACTACCATACCCATGGTGTTAGTGGAAGTACCACCATACCCATGGTGTTGGTGGTAGTACCACCATACCCATGGTGTTGGTGGTAGTACTACCATACTCATGGTGTTAGTGGAAGTACCACCATACCCATGGTGTTGGTGGTAGTACCACCATACTCATGGTGTTGGTGGTAGTACCGCCATACCCATGGTGTTGGTGGTAGTGCCACCATACCAATGGTGTTGGTGGTAGTACCACCATACCCATGGTGTTGGTGATAGTACTGCCGCCATACCCATGGTGTTGGTGGTAGTGCCACCATACCCATGGTGTTGGTGGTAGTACCACCATACCCATGGTGTTTGTGGTAGTACCACCATACCTACGGTGTTGGTGGTAGTACCACCATACCCATGGTGTTGGTGGTAGTACCACCATACCCATGGTGTTGGTGGTAGTACCACCATACCTATGGTGTTGGTGATAGTACCACCATACCCATGGTGTTGGTGGAAGTACCACCATACCCATTGTGTTAGTGGTAAATACCACCATACCCATGGTGTTGGTGGTAGTACCACCATACCTATGGTGTTGGTGATAGTACCACCATACCCATGGTGTTGGTGGAAGTACCACCATACCCATTGTGTTAGTGGTAGTACCACCATACCCATGGTGTTGGTGGTAGTACCACCATACCCATGGTGTTGGTGGTAGTACCACGATACGCTTGGTGTTGGTGGTAGTATCACCATACACATGGTGTTGGCTGTAGTACCACCATACCCATGGTGTTGATGGAGTACCACCATACCCATGGTGTTGGTTGTAGTACCACCATACCCATGGTGTTGGTTGTAGTACCACCATGCCCATGGTGTTGGTGGTAGTACCACCATACCCACAGTGTTGGTGGTAGTACCACCATACCCATGGTGTTGGTGGTAGTACCACCATATCCATGGTGTTAAGGGTAGTGCCACCATACCCATGGTGTTGGTGGTAGTACCACCATATCCATGGTGTGGGTGGTAATACCACCATACCCATGGTGTTGGTGGTAGTGCCACCATACCCATGGTGTTGGTGGAAGCACCACCATACGTGAACACTTTCCGTCAATGTACAAGGTACAGTACTGCCACGTGAGCACTTACCGTCAAGGTACAGCACTGTCATGTGAACACTTTCGGTCAAGGTACAAGGTGCAGTACTGTCACGTGAACACTTACCGTCAAGGAGCAGTAGTGTCACGTGAACACTTACCGTCAAGGAGCAGTAGTGTCACGTGAACACTTACCGTCAAGGTACAGTACTGTCACGTGAACATTTACCGCCAAGGTACAAGGTACAGCACTGTCACGTGAACACTTAGTGTTAAGGTACAGTACTGTCACCTGAACACTTACCGTCAAGGTACAGTTGTCACGTGAACACTTACCGTCAAGGTACAGTTGTCACGTGAACACTTACCGTCAAGGTACAGTTGTCACGTGAACACTTACCGTCAAGGTACAGTTGTCACGTGAACACTTACCGTCAAGGTACAGTTGTCACGTGAACACTTACCGTCAAGGTACAGTTGTCACGTGAACACTTACCGTCAAGGTACAGTACTGTCACGTGAACACTTACCGCCAAGGTACAAGGTACAGTACTGTCACGTGAACACTTACCGTCAAGGAGCAGTAGTGTCACGTGAACACTTACCGTCAAGGAGTAGTAGTGTCACGTGAACACTTACCGTCAAGGTACAGTACTGTCACGTGAACATTTACCGCCAAGGTACAAGGTACAGCACTGTCACGTGAACACTTAGTGTTAAGGTACAGTACTGTCACCTGACCACTTACCGTCAAGGTACAGTTGTCACGTGAACACTTACCGTCAAGGTACAGTTGTCACGTGAACACTTACCGTCAAGGTACGGTACTGTCACATGAAAACTTACCGTCAAGGTACAAGGTACAGTACTGTCACGTGAACACTTACTGCCAAGGTACGGTACTGTCAAGTGAACTCATACCGTCAATGTACAGTACTGTCACGTGAACACTTACCGTCAAGGTACAGTATTGTCACGTGAACACTTACTGCCAAGGTACGGTACTGTCAAGTGAACTCTTTCCGTCAATGTACAGTACTGTCACGTGAACACTTACCGTCAAGGTACAGTATTGTCACGTGAACACTTACCGTCAAGGTACAGTACTGTCACGTGAACACTTACGGTCAAGGTACAGTACTGTCACGTGAACACTTACGGTCAAGGTACAGTACTGTCACGTGAACACTTATCGTCAAGGTACAGTACTGTCACGTGAACACTTACCGTCAAGGTACAGTATTGTCACGTGAACACTTACCGTCAAGGTACAGTACTGTCAAGTGAACTCATACCGTCAAGGTACAGTACTGTCACGTGAACACTTACCGTCAAGGTACAGTATTGTCACGTGAACACTTACCGTCAAGGTACAGTACTGTCACGTGAACACTTACGGTCAAGGTACAGTACTGTCACGTGAACACTTACCGTCAAGGTACAAGGTACAGTACTGTCACGTGAACACTTACGGTCAAGGTACAAGGTACAGTACTGTCACGTGAACACTTACCGTCAAGGTACAAGGTACAGTACTGTCACGTGAACACTTACCGCCAAGGTACAAGGTACAGTACTGTCACGTGAACACTTACCGTCAAGGAGCAGTTGTGTCACGTGAACACTTACCGTCAAGGAGCAGTAGTGTCACGTGAACACTTACCGTCAAGGTACAGTACTGTCACGTGAACATTTACCGCCTAGGTACAAGGTACAGCACTGTCACGTGAACACTTAGTGTTAAGGTACAGTACTGTCACCTGAACACTTACCGTCATGGTACATGGTACAGTACTGTCACGTGAACACTTACTGCCAAAGTACAGTACTGTCAAGTGAACTCTTACCGTCATGGTACAAGGTACAGTACTGTCACGTGAACACTTAGTGTCAAGGTACGGTACTGTCAAGTGAACTCTTACCGTCATGGTACAAGGTACAGTACCGTCACGTGAACACTTACTGCCAAAGTACAGTACTGTCAAGTGAACTCTTACCGTCAAGGTACAAGGTACAGTACTGTCAC